GCGGTTCACTAGCACCATGGCTGTTTCTGGAATATCCCTTGAGACCTTATTCAGCTCTTTTTACAAATGGCAGTAGTAATCACAGAGATAAATCTACCTAATTTGAAGGTCAGGCAGGAAATTACTTTTTTCGAAAAACCCATAGCGGCATTACACTTTTCTAATCCCAACATGGAGATGATTCAATTTATCTGAGACATTCGTATCTGACATGGACAAGGAAGTGCAAGCTGTTAATAGCAAGAGTGTCCCTCACCTTCTGTTTCAAGGCCTAGTTCTAAGACTTGAACAGGGAGAGTAAGTCCTTACTTCTTTTTTTTTTTTTTTTTTTAAAGAATTATTTTATTGGGGGACCAGCAGTTAACGTAATGGCTCTGTCGCTGGACTCCCATGTAGTCGACTGTGGTTCGAGTCCCAGACCCAGTGGCTTAAACTCACATCGGGCGCGTGTGTGTGCGTGCCCAAGATCCCGAGAGGAGAATGGAGGAGAAGGGATTGTGGTGTAGCCATCTCCCCTGGGGGGTGATTTCTTGCTTTCCGTCTCTCTGTCTCTCTCTGACTTTCTGGCGAGCGCACACGCCCTATAGCAAAAACCTCTCCAAAAAAAAGAGAAAAAAAAGAATTATTTTATTTAACTTTATTTATTTATTTCAATTTTACCAGAGAGAGAGAGAGAGAGAGAGGGAGAAAGGGATGGGGGAGAGAAAGAGACAGAGAGAGAGAGAGAAAGCAAGCCACCAGGACCAGGACTTGAACCATGGTTGGCCATGTGGGAGGGGAGTCCGGCACCCCTAACCACCATGCCACCTGCTGGCCCCTTACCTATTTTCTTGTGGTTGGCTTCCTGAGCCAGTTCTGCCTTGGTTATACCTTGCTGTATGGTATCCTTCCCCAGCATGCCCTGAGCTCACTGTCATTCTTCTACAAATGGAAAATTTATTTTGTTTCACAAAGAATAACAACAACATGCAAAGATATTAATGTAAAACTATTTTTTTCTTTATTGAAAATACATCTACAAAGTAATGCTTTTCAGTCCACACTGGGTGCACGGATATGCAGAGCCTGTGATGGGCTGGTGAGAGGATTGCCCTAGAGGACCTGCTTTCCATAAGAAATGGTTAGTATAAAAAACATCACATTGTGTAACAGAATTAATTTGACATGATTAATTTTTGCTCTACTAGTTTCATGGCAGCCGTGTGCATTAACTCTTGTAGTGTTTCCCAAATAGAGCCTCGACATTAAATGGTTACTCCACCACAGCCTAACGCTAACTCTTAGATGCACGTAATGCTTGGATCTATTATAGGAAGAGCCCTAACTGTATCAGAGGATGTATGTCTAGATTTTCAGTCTGTTAGCATAATTAAGTTCTTTCTTCGCCATTTTCGGTCAGAAATTCAAGCACAGCTGGGTATTGTCTGACAGCTCCCACTCGGCATCTTTGACTGGGTATATTCCTTAGGGGGTAAAATTAATCTCCTCTAAACCTGGGAGCTGCCTTGCCTGACACTAATGCCCCTGCTGTGTTTTCTTGCAACCTCATTGACATCGTCTTCGTACTGATTTATCTTCTACCATTTCTCTTAGGGACACAAACAAAACAAAAGTCAACCCTACTCCAGCTGAAAGTTTTGAATGATGGAAGTGGAATCCCAACACAAAGCATTATCTTGTTTCTTTCGTTTCAAGAACTTTTGAGTAAAGTGAAACATTTCAAATATGAGACCACCCATCCAGCTCATGGACCCCTATTAGAAAACTCATTCATTGGACTTCTGTAAAATATATCAGAAGTGATTGTATATTTTGGTTTGCAGACTTCCTTGGGGAATGACTCTGAATTGAAGAGAATTGTCCCTGGTTTAAATAAAACAAAACAAAACATTATAACTTCCTCTTTTTAAATTCTTCCTGAAGGAAGACCTATACTCTTGGTATTTTAAAATCCTCTCTTGATAATGTTAACCATGTTCCATTCTCTCCCAGCTCTTTAGTGTTCCATAGTAAAACCCCAAGCACCCATGCTAGTTGCTAGTCTTCTGTTTTATTTTCTAAAAGTCTATCGTCAGTTATGGAATGGCGGGAGACTTCCTTCCCAGAGCAGTCCCTTCGGTTCGGAAAGAGGAGGAAAGAAAGGAACGCTTCCCCTGTCTAGAAGAACTGGGCAAAGGGTTTCATGAACAATCCTACTCTTTCCTTGCAACTTGCCATAACTGCCCCTTTGGACACAGGACCTGGCGAACCCCACAGCCATCCTGCCCCTAGTTAGAACCGTTCACTCTCAGTAAGTGTTCTTCCCGAAAGCCCCATGCTTCACGGAATGGTACTCGGTACAAGTATGCCGGGGGACTGTGGTGGGGGTGAGGGCATAGAGGGCGGGCTCTTTCATGACGTCACAGATGTCTGGGCTAGAAGGGACAGTAAGGAACTAGGGAACTCACTGCTTTTGTAGGTGAGGGCACTGAGGCCCAGAGATGAGATGTGCCTTGCCCAAGGCCATGTGGAAACTTCACTTTCTGCCCCTCCTGGCCGCTGTGCTAGGCGTGTATGTATAGTCCTGCTGCTAATAACAGGGGGACACAAATCAGACGAGAAAGGGGAAAAAACCCTCCTACTATCCAACCGATAACTGATTGTAGTTCATCAAATTGTTATGTTTTGAGACTAAACCTTGTGTTTGAAAGAGTTTTACATTTTGAATGTTTAGCTATCATTTTTAAAACTTAACTATTTGTTCCATTCTTTAACTTATATAAAATCACATTTACAGGATTGTGTGCCACAGGAACTGGTAAGATCTGATAAAGACTCTTGGATTAGGTAACCGTAACATGAAATGATTTAAAAGTTTGAGATGAGATGAAAAGTACACATTTTGGCCACTGTAAAATCCTACCTTGTTCTTGGATGTTTACTTTCCAGACCTATCGAAGTAGAGTGGAAAAGGCAGATAAAGGGCTTATTGGAGAGAATGAGGTGTAACGAGATGAAAACATTTTATAATGGTTTCCCAACACCTGGTGCTCGAGAAGCCACTTCTTCATGTTAGTCTACATCTTGGTTTCACTGTCGATAGGTTTCTCCGCTTCACTGTCCTGGGCAATCAGTTGATATGGTTTCTTCATTTCATTCTCTTCAATCACAGAGTTTCCCATTTCAACATCTTTGTTCTTCAGTTCGTGTCGTGATAAGTGCTCGACAATCCCGGCTCCGAGGGAGTCTCCCAGCACGTTGGTGGTGGTTCGGAGGCGGTCCCTGCAGAAAGGGTGGACAGGAAGCAAAAATGAGATTCCTGGGACTATCATGAGATTTCGACTTACAGTATGAACTGGCCGGCAACGTTTTTCGAGGAGTTGCTTAAAATTGAGTTTTGAGGGGGCCAGCAGATGATATAGCAGTTATGTCGCTGGATTCCCACATGTCTGACCGCAGTTCGAATCCCGGACCTGGTGGCTTGAGAGTCACACCAGGTGCGTGTGTGTGTGTGCCCAGGATCCTAGGAAAAGAATGGAAGAGACTAGATTGCGGTTTTGGCCACCCCCCGCCCCCTGGGGAGTAATTTCTCACTTTCCCTCCATCTCTCTCTCTTTTGCTCTCTCGCCAGCAAGTGCACACACCCTAAGGCAAAACCGTCTTTAAAAATATCAGTTTGGGGTATCCACCAACTGCATGGTTATATAATCAACACATGGCTTTTTATTTTATTTTATTTTGCTATAGGGCACATGTGCACACTTGAAACTGAGACAGAGACAGAGAGAAAGAGGGAAAGTGAGAAAGCACCCCCTGAGAGAATGACCAAGGTGCAATTCCTTCTCCTCCATTTTCCTCTCAGAATTTTGGGCATGTAAGCAAAGGTGCCTGGCATGTTTTTGAAGACACTGGGTCTGGGATTCAAACTGTGCAATCTGCCGTGTGGGATCTAGCTGCCTAAATCTCTGTGCCATCTGCTGGCCTAACTTTTATAATAGTAGCTATTAAAAGTTTTAGGAACATATAGTGGCTAACAGATACTAGTTACTGTTAATTTTTGGCCACTAGTATGACTGTAGCTAGATTCCTAATAGTAATGACCTTCTCTTTCTTCTTTTATTTTAAATTTCTTTCCTCCGACTTACCTTCATTTCCACCAGTGGTTTTCAAAGTGTGGTCCAAAGGCCCCTGAAAGTCCCCTGGTCAAAACTGTTCTTATAGGGACCAGCAGTTGGTGTAATGGCTATGTCGCCGGACTCCCATGTGGTTGACCGCAGTTTGAGTCCTGGACTCGGTGGCTTAAACTCATGCTGGGCGCATGTGTGTGTGTGCCCAAACTCCCGAGAGGAGAGGAGAATGGAGGAGAAGGGATTGCGGCGTGGCCTTCCACACTCGGGGGGTGATTTCTTGCTTTCTGTCTCTCTGTCTCTCTCTAGCTTTTTGGTGAGTGCATGCGCCCTATAACAAAAACCTCTCAAAACCCCCCAAAACTGTTCTTATAATAACACTGAGATGTTTTTTCCCCCCTTCCACTCATTTTCCCATGAATGGATAGTGGAGTTTTGCAAAGATTATGGTGGTATGATATCACTACACATTTAATACAGAAATATTAATAGAAGAATCCAGGTGTCTTAAGCTAGACATTAAGGAAACTTGAAAAAGTAAAATGATGCCATTCTTTCCATTAAGTTTTTGGTTCAAAAATGGTTATTTTTCATAAATTTTATTTATGTTAACACATAATGAATTTTTATTATAACCTTTACATTAATTTAACACTTTAAATCTTTCTGTTTCTATTATGATAAGCATTGATAGATATAACCCAAATACCTTAAATACATTTTTGGTACTCACCAATTATTTTTTTCTTCCCTTCTCTGTCTTATTTATTTTTGAGAGAGATCTTTGCTATAGGATGCATGTGCTTGCCAGAGAGACAGAGACAGAAGGCAAGAAATCATACCCAGAGGAGATGGCCGTGCTGCAATTCCTTCTTGTCCATTCCCCTCTCAGGATTTTGGGCATGCATGCACACACACTCGGGGTGAGTTTTATGCTGCTGGGTCAGGACTCGAACTGCAGTCGACTACATAGGAGTCCAGAGACTAGCAGACAAGCGCAGAACTCCTCCACCCCTCCCCCAGGCTCACACACACAGTCAAGTTCTTCATGGTCAGCACTTACAGTGAAACCAACATATGTTGACTCCAGTATGTGCTACGTTCTTGGGCATCTTGGCAGAATAAACTTTAAATGTGGAAGGGAGCTTGTGACAAAAAAGAGACAGAGTTGGAAGGACAAGAGAAAATGGCCAGGGATGGGCCTTACAGGATGGGGTCTGAGGGAGTGGAGGATACATTTCTTGGAACTTTCCCTAGAGCCAAAAGTCAATTCCACGTAATGACGTGAGCTCTTATCCCACTGTCTGCATGGCCACCCCTTGCCCTGCTGGACTCGACGGCAACATCCATGCCGAATTATGCCACTGGACTGGGAAGCACAGGGAGGAAGGGCCCGAGCCGGCGTGTGGGGCCTGCGACTCCGTTGTAGCTGCTGTGAGGATGTGTTGTGCAACTGAGAAATGGCCGTGCTGATTTATGTTGGCTTTGCAGACAGCAGGTTTCCCAATCCCTGAATGGCTTTATGGAGTGAGAAGTGTAGCAGCCAGATGTGCCCCACAGGCTGATAGGGGAGTGAGTGCACATGGTCTCAGATAAGGGCCAGGGGTCAAGCAATGAGGGCCATTTAATTACAGGCCAAACTGTCCTTCTTCATGTTGTCCTTTTGGCAGACGTGCCAGGCTGCCTGGCGCCCTAGAATGACAGAGGGGGGCCCTGTGACAGCAGCCCCAGTGTACTCACAGGAACCAGTCCACTGCGATGATGAGCGTGATGTCGTCAGTGGGCAGGCCCACAGATGTCAGCACAATGACCATGGTGACCAGGCCCGCCTGAGGAATCCCAGCTGCCCCAATGCTGGCAGCAGTGGCTGTGATGCTGCGGAAAGAAATACCGAAACCCTGTTACAAGGCTGCCCAAGTGGAGGGCTTACCCTGCAAAACGTATTATGCCAGTGCTTGGCTTTCCATGGTAACAGAAGAGGGTACACTTTGGAAAAAAGTCACTGAGCTAATAATCATACTAATATATATCATGTGCTTATTATGTGCCATCTGATATGATAAGCATGGCTTATCCCTTTGCTCGTTAGCAAGCTTTATGAAGTTGGTCCTATTATTATAGTCAATTTGGAATGAAGAACTGGTGGCTATTCGCTATTGTGAGTGCCCTAAGGTATTCTGTAAGGTCTAAAATGCTGTAATGTCACAATAACGATTTATTTCTGATAACTCCCCTATCTAAATGGACGGCTGTAAAGAAACTGAATTTATATGATGAATTAGTAAAAAAAAAAAAATTGAAATGATTAATTCAAAAGCCAAATGATTTATGAACAAAGTTATTTTGAACTATAAATTGTTTTTCTTTCTTTCTTTTTCTTTCTGCTTTCTTTCATTTTCCTTCTTTCTTTCTTTCTTTCTTTCTTTCTTTCTTTCTTTCTTTCTTTCTTTCTTTCTCTTCCTTTTTTCTTTCCCTTCCTTCTTTCCTTCCTCTCTTCTTTCCTCCCTTCCTTCCCTCCTTTCTTCCTTCCTTCATCCCCCCCCCTTTTTAAAAATTTTTAATGGAGGCAGTGTGGACCTGATTTGTAAGGCTCTTACCTGTCTGAGACACAATTCGTTAAATACCTATTTGATAAGGTGAGAATGTAGATTTGTTTTATAGTCAAGTAGCACCAGCCCTGTAACCTAGTGGTTAAAGGAGCTAGATCCCACATGGCCAGTGGTGGTTTGAATCCCACCCTTGTGACTTGAAAAACAAGCCAAATGCGTGTGTATATGTAAGCCTCAAATCCAGACAGGATGGAGTAATAGAGGAGACCATGATCTATTGAAGGGGTGCTTTCTTCCTCTATTTTATTTTTTTTTCTCTCTCTATTTCTCTGGTGAGTACATGCACCCTCTGGCAACTTAAAAAAAAGAAAAAGAAAGAAAGAAAAAATAGTAAAGTACTACCTACATATAAAGTGGCCTTACTAGAGTACTGTCGGTGGCATACTATTCCCCTTCTAAGATACTAGACTTCTTAGCAGGCTTATAGCTGCCCAGAATGAAGTCTATACTTCCCAGCCTCCCTTGTAGCTTAAATTAGGTTCTGACCAATGAGGGGTAGATGGAAGGGACTGAATACTTGTAGACAATTCCACTTCCCAGTGGCTAAAATTTGGAGGCAGCGATAAGCCATTCTGGACCCCCTAGATAAGGGTGCAGAAACATGCTTAAGAAACATTGGAACCAAAAACCTTGGTCCCTTGTGCTATAGAAAAACCTACCAGCTCTGGGGCTTTGTGGAAGAAGAGTACACCTCTGTTTTGTGAAGTTGCTGTTCCTGTTACCACTGCTTTGAACTCTGTGACATGCAACTGAACCTTTTCATAACTCAGAACTTGGCAACAAAGATATGCCCGAGAACGTGACCTGTGGGCTCAGATACTGACTTTCTAGCCTGTAGTATAGCCAGACTGGGCCTGGGGTTCCCAGACCTCCAGGTTAGATGATGATCTCTGGCCCTGATTGGCCTCATCTCTTTACTCCAATGCAGTCTACAATTAATAACACAAAACATACATACAGAGTCTAACATAACTTACTTCAAAATAAGCAGAACAAAAATGTGGGATGACTCATAGAGATTAAAAGAGACTGAAAAACCAAATGCGGGCCATAAATCTGGATTTGATCTTGGTCTGGAAGAAAAATCTATAAAAGACATTTTTGAGACAATTGGAAAAATTTGAATATAGACTTGATATTTTGGAAGTATTTTTAAGATTTTTACTATTTCAATGATTTAGAATACCCTTGTTCTTTTTTTGTTTGGTTGTTTTTGTCATAGGGTGCATGTGCTCACTAGAGAGAGACAGGGAGACACAGAGAGGGGGAGTGAGAAGTCCTCCTCATCCTCCCCACCAGGGGGGATGGCCACATCGCAATCTCCTCTCTATCATTCTGCTCTCAGGATTTGAGGCACTCATGCACACACACAGTGTGATTTTCTTTGGCTTTCTTTCTCTTTCTTCTTTCTTTCTTTCTCTTTCTTTTTTTCCTTTCTTTCTTCTTTCTTTCTTCCTTTTTAAGAGATTTTTGCTATAGGGCACGTGCGCTTGCCAGAAAGACAGAGAGAGAAAGAGAGACAGAAAGCGAGAAATCACCGCCCAGGGGGGATGACCACACTGTAATCCCTTCTCCTCCTTTCTCCTCAATTTATTTTTATCTCCAAAATATATTGTTAATAATAAGTAACAAAAACCTCAACTGAATCAGAGACTGAGCTGGATTATGAGGCTTAAAATCTCCTGATGCCATTAGACTCGTGGTCCTGTGTGCACAGTAACTTTCAGGGAAGGGGAGAATTATACTTGCATATGCACATGGATATGAATGGCTTCTCTCTGGAAGAACACAAAAGAAACCGATGGGTATCACTGGTGGCTCTGGAGGAAGAAACTAAAAGACTGGGGGAAGACATGGAAAGGAAAACTGCTTTTCACTAGACACTGCAAATTCCCCACAAAGATCACATTTTTCAACCCACTTGTTAATGCAGTCTGCCATCTGTCATAGACTGCCTAACAATTAACCCAAGAGAAAAAGTAAATCCAGTTTTTTAAGTATAGTTTTATTTTCCAATTTGGTCTGTAAAACTAACATAGTTTAATGCTTTCAAAATTGAAATATCACCGGGACCAGCAGTTGGCATAATGGCTATGTCACTGGACTCCCACGTAGCTGACTGCAGTTTGAGTCCTGGGCCTGGTGGCTTAAACTCCTGCCAGGCGTGTGTGCATGTGTGCCCAAGATCTTGAGAGGAGAATGGAGGAGAAGGGATTGTGGCATGGCCATGCCCCCTGGGGTGGGGGTACATTCTCACTTTCTGTCTCTCTGTCTCTCTCTGTTTTTCTGGCGAGCACATGTGCTCTATAGCAAACACCTATCGAAGAAAAAAAAATTGAAGTATCACTTTTAAAAAGAGAAATATCTGAGGCTGGCAGATGGCATGGTGGTTAATGTGCTGGACTTCCACATAGCCAACTATGGTCCTGGACCTGGTGGCTTGCTCTCTTACTTTCCCTCTCTCTTTGTCTCTCTCTGTTCAAATTGAAAAATGATAATGATAAGTAAAATAATTCTTAAAAAGAGAAAAATATCTATACTCTGTGACATTAAAAATAATGAACTCAATATATTTATAAATGGTATCTTGATGAGCAAACAAATCAAGGGGAAAATGGTATGTATGCTACAATTCTATTAATTAGGAATGTGTACATGTCTATGGATAGGAAAAGGTCTTTTCTTTTCTTTTCTTTTTTTTTTTAAGACGTTTTTGCTATAGGGCGCGTGTGCTCGCCAGACAGACAGAGAGAGACAGAGAGACAGAAAGCGAGAAATCACCCCCCAGGGGGGATGGTCACACCACAGTCCCCTCTCCTCCATTCTCCTCTCGGGATCTTGGGCATGCACGCACACGCACCCGGCGTGAGTTTTAAGCCACCGGGTCTGGGACGCGAACCATGGTTGACTACGTGGGAGTCCAGCGACATAGCCATTGTACTAACTGCTGATCCCAGGAAAAGGTCTTTTCTGACCATATGTGAACAATGGATACCTACAGAAAGATGTAGAGTGTTGTGGTAGGTAAGTTTCACCCTTTACTTAAACACATTTCTGTATTATTTTAATTTTATAATTAAGAGTTCGCATGTCTGCAGTTTTTAAAAATAAATATCTAGTTATAAAAATAAAATGATTCCCAGGAACCAGCAGTTAGCATAATGGCTTTGTGGCTGGACTCCCACATAGTCGACCGCGGTTCACGTCCC